CTTCCTCTCTGCCTGCCTTCCTCTTACCCGCCCCACCTTAGAGACACAGCCCGTCCCAACACCAACCCATCCCGGAGCCCCAGGGAGGTAACACCTGAAGGTCAAGGGGCTGAGGCAGGCAGGGCCATCACGTAGGCATAGTTCCTCAGTGCCCAGTTGTCCTTGTGAAGGAGGGGCCCCCAGAGTGGGGGTGCAAAATGCCTGACTACCAGGCCTGGGATTTGGAGGAGCAGTGGGTGGGGAGGACTTCTAGATCTTCTAGGACTTCAGTGTGGATCCATGACCCAGACTGAATCTTCTTGATGGGAGATGGATGCCTGCTGTACAAGGATGCCATCTCTGACACGGAGGCTCAGAGACTAAGCGACAAAGGGCTTGGGACCGGGCCACGGGCGGCGCTGGCATGGCCCATGACCCGGGACCGGAATGGAAAGCCCGCTGCGCACAGGCGATCCCGAGGCCCGCCGCTGCACACCCCCTGGCCCCCTCCCGCGGCCCCAGGAGTCGGGTGCTGAGTCTAAGGCTGTGCTTTCCTCAGGCGAAGCCCCAGCCCCTGCGCCCTAAACCTTGCCAGCCAGCAGGTCCCGCCAGCACCTGTGTGTGCGCATGCGCACTAAGGACTCTCAGCGTCCCTCTCCAAAATCGGGTGCAGCGTGTCTTCCCCCCCACCCTCCCACAGGCTGCAGCCTCTGAGCTCTGATCGGGAGATGAGGCAATGGCTGTAGGCTGCCATGCTGACATGTTTTTCTGTTGCTTGGCTGAGGGCTCTTGCTGAATCGAAGGGGATTTCCGGCTATAATTGGTTATGACTGATACTAACTCATCAGCTGGCCACACGGCTGGGCCCCAGGCAGCTCTAATGTTTCCATATGTTAGTCGTGCCCCTTAAACTCATGTGGACACTTCCCAGTCTCTTCCCCCATTCATGGGCCCAAAGATCGCCCACTAGGAGGAGTGACCATACCCCTTCCTCCCTGCCTGCAGTGGTCTCGGTTTGCGGCCACTGCCTACTCCCTAGCTATGAACAAAGACCAGGCTTCGACCTTAACCCTCAGGCCCTGCGTTCAGTGAGACCCGCAGACCTGGGGACGGGCCAGCGCTCAGCCATAGGCAGTGCTCATCAAGAAGCTTCTGGAATGAAGGACAGTCCACCCAAGGCTCCTTGTCCCTTCCCAATCTCTGCCTCTTAGCAGCGTTTGGATCCATCGACTTCAGAAAAACGAGGGTGGCTACCTGGTGCCTGCCTCTCCAGCGAGTCCCTGTTTGCCACCGGGTCTCCCTGAGGGACTCCACACCCTCAGACCTTCACAGAACTGGTACACTGACTCAATGCCTACCGTGTGCATGCCACAGCCCTACTTCAACCGGTCCCCGCACGGGGTAGGAGGCAGACAGGAGATGGCACCAGCAGGCGCCACCTATTTGCAAACAACCCGGGGCAGGAAGGACACCAAGCCCACCACCTGCACAGGCCTGGCTTTCTGGTCGGGGTGAAGGGCGCAGAGAAGAAACCTGAATACCCAGCATCTGCTGCTCACAGCTGGGAATGCCCGCAACACCCCTGGTAGGTCCTCCGGCAAACCTTCTCTCCTAGGACGAAAAGACCCACGGGCCTTGCAGCTTCCCGAAGGCTGACGGTAAGCAGCCCCGCTGGGCCCTGAACACCGTGCAGTGTGGAATACGATCTTTGCATCCTGGGGGAAGCACCTTGGTGCATGAGCTCCGACAGTGGCGGCTAGGTGCCTGCGATGCCCCTTCCTCCCTCCAGAGCTGGGCAGGCCGGACCTCCCCCACCACTAAGACTCTAGACTCTGTCAACCACCAGGCACCTGTGAGGTTGGTCTTCTGTAAGTTCAAGGCCTTACTCAGGATGTTGCTCCCTCCTTCACATCTAGGGGAACGTATTTGTTCATTGATGATTGGCGACCAAAGAGAAATGGTGTAGGACTACCAGTCCGGCTCGTGTTCCCTAGGACCCCCCGTCAAGAGACGTGACTGTAAAGCACTGCCCCCTCCCCACTCCCTTTCCTTCCTTTAGAATAAACAGCTGACTCTGGCCTTCCTCCTCCTCACAAATGGTACAGTGGTCCTCACAGGGTGGTCTGAGCACCCACAGCGCCACTGCCACTCAGGAGCTCCATCCAAGAGCTATTGCGTGGGAAACTCTTGGGGTGGGACCCAGTTATCCCCCTGTTCACAGGCCCTCCAGGGGACTCTTAAGTCTGAGACCCACTGGTACTGCACGCTACCCAAGAGCCCCAGGTAGAAGGCCTCATTCGGTTTTCTGATCCCCACATGGACAGCCTGCCCAGGTGCGCAGGCCTTGCACCTGCGGAGAGGATCTTCCCAGGGAAGAGGGGCTGCCTACATGCCATGCTTCCGGCCACCTGACCCTGGCAGACAAGAGGCCAGAGAAGGCTAGATCTGGAGTCCATGAATGGCTCTTCACAAACCCTTTCCTTCCAGAAGGTGCAGCAGGAATTCAGATGGCTCTGGGCATTGCCATAGCAACTGTACCTTTCTGAAGCTGTCACAGGCTACAGGAGCAGGGCGTAAGCAATGCGAGGGGCGGGGGGGGGGGCGGTTGGGGAGGATGTGCCAGTGAAGAAAGCTCACCCAGCAGATGAGGATGTGAAAAGAGATGGAACCTCAGCACGGCTGGGATTTACAGACCGGAGCTTGGCGGGGCCGAGACTTCCTCAAGACCCAGGGTGCGTCTGGGATCTCTCTAGGGGCCTCCACAGTGACAACACTGCGCCAGCTAGCCCTGAGGGGCCCGCGATGATGACAGCACACGCCAGGTACAGCAACAGATCATCCAGCGAGGTTAGATTGGTTCCTACACGGTCCCAGCAATCAGGAAGGAAGTGCCCACCATGGGACGGCTGCTCGTATTTCCAGTCTGGGTTGAAGAAATGGACGCTGCTATCAGCTTCTGGTATAAATCAGATGCCAGAAAGTCAGGAGGCACCTCAGGGGATAAATAATGGTGGATATTCTGGTGCTAAAGAAATCAACTGTCAACCAGAATTTGTATAAAAAAGGAACCCGTGCACCATCCGCGTCATCGCCGTGGCTCTCTCCAGGGCCGCCGCCTCCAGGTGCTGGGAGCAGTGGGAGGCTGGGCACTCCGGGCCTCCCCGAGGTGGAAGGCCAGCAGACAGGCAGGACCTGCTAAGTGGCACTCAGGCCTGTCCAGTCGGGCAGCCTCCCAGGAGCAGAGTGGTGCGCACGCGCACACGCACGCACACAAGCGCCCGCGGCCCAGGCGACCACGTACGTGCGCTGCAGCTGGCCAGAGCACCCGGCTGTCTTGGTGCTTTCGACCTGTTCCTTTGGCTTTCGGCTCCACAAGGAGCAAGAGGCCCACGTCAGGGTGCGGGAGGTGGGATTCTGTTGTCCTCAGGGGTGAGGCGCAAAGCGTGAGAAGTCAGGGTGGTGGGGGAAGCAGTCACCCCAGTGTCATCTCTGCGAGCCTGTCGTAGCCGCCCCAAACCTAACCTCATCGTGGTTCAGCACTGTCCCCCAGAACTTTCTTTCCACCAGGTTCCACTCACCTTTGCCCCTTCTGGCCCTCCTGGCAAGCCGGGTCCCTGCTGAGTTTTTCTGATACCAGAACCCCTGCTGACTCTCCAGGGCCCCAGCTTGCTGCTGCCGGTCAGGGACCCACCGGAGCTGCTGTGGGGGGCAAGCCCTGCCCAGGTGTGGGGGTTCCTCCTGAGGCTCACAGGGGGAGAGCTCTTTACCCCCAAGGGGGGGCCAGCTCCTGACTCCCACCTTGCTCCTTGCTGTCATCTAGCTAGAGCAGCCTTCCCTGCACCTGCCCTGCTCCCCGTACTTACGACACCCAGGAGCGGGGCCCCCCGGGTGCGGCACTCCCACACACCGCCGTGCCCTCCTTCAGGAATGAGCGTGATGGAGGGAGCACAGTGGAGAGGGAGGGGTGGGGAGTCACGCCCGCCCCTGCCTTACCCTGGCTGCTCCCTCACGAGGTTTCCATGTGACTCTCCGTGTATGGCTGGGCCGAGCCCGCTGGCTCTGCACAGACATCCTCAGGCAGCGGGCAGGGGTCTGCAGAGGGGCATGTGTTGGGGGGATGCGAGAGCCAGCTGTGGGGCCTCTCACTTCATTCCAGTCACTGCCCTTTATAAATATTTATAGACGTTCCCCTACTAAAAATAACATCCTAGAGCCCAGGGAGGAGAAAAAAAAATAAATGCAAAGCACCAGGCCCTGGGATCGGAGAGCATGTGTGCCAGAGCAGAAGGGAACCCTGAGCTGGGACCTGACCAGCAGCGAGAGCACAGCAGCGAGGAGGGCGCCCTCTGGCGGCCGAGGGTCACGACACCCTGGCAGCTGGCCACCGGCTTGGATGTACAGAACCCTCTGCTGCAGGAGGAACCGTGCAGGATCCAGCCCCAGCTCTCTGCTCCCCCTTCCTACCTAGGCTACAGAGCAGCTGCATCAGACGGGGTGGGCCCAGCCTGAAGCTGTCTTGCATGACAGAGGCAAGAAAACCCGTTTGTTTTTAAAGGTCAAAGGTAGCAGGGAAACATGTGCCCCCCAAGCTAGCAAGCCACCGGCGAGAACACCATCAGGTCACACACAGAGGAGACTTGTGCTGTTTCTTTGCACTTTTCAACCTCCCAGTAGATTCCCGGGCAGAGATGAGCCCCTGCCCCGGGGGGGAGCGGTGAAGATGCTAGTTCATGCAGGACTGTGCGAGGGGCCGCCCACCGGCGGGGCATCAGGTGCTCCCTCCCACTTCCCACTGGCGCCGGGCTCCCTCCCCCGGGCAGGTGGTGACATCTGGCATCCCGCGAGCCCGCTCCAGGTGTGCCGCGGAGAGATGGACAGGAACGCCCCTCTGGGGGAGGGCCTCGCTTTCCTCAGGCTGATGCCAGCTTGCACCACGTCCCCAGTGCCTGTGCGGGGCAGACACACTGTTACTGCAGGCGCTGCCAAGGTCTCCCGGCAAATGCTGCTCCTGCCTGCTGGGGACGAGACAACGTGCAGGGCTGGGCTGCGGGATGTTTCCTCTCACCCGGGGAGATGCAGAGGGCAGACAGCACTCATGCGCCCTTCAGGGAAAGGCATGCTCTCTTTTCTGAGGTCACCTAGGGTCTCTGGGGTCCCTGCATTGGGGTCCCCGTTTCCAGGGAAGAAAAAAAAACTGGGTTTGAAGTGCAAGATTTGGAAGGTGGTGGTTTCTTGGGAAGGAGAACTGAGGAGAAAGAAGGGCAGGGAGGTCAGAGACAGGCCCGCACGCACGCAGGGGGCTCGAAGAGAACAGACCTTAGGGCCCCTGAAATGGAGCCACCGGGTTTTCATGCTTTTCACCTGACTCTCTACCACCAGGGCGTTTCTCCTAACTCCCAACGGGGCCAGAGAACGGCGCTGGGAGCAGAAGACCCAGCTCCGATTCTGCTTCTGACACCAGGCCCCCCGGTTAGGTTGTGGGCCTTGGTTTCTTCATCTGCAGCAATGGGGGTGGGCCACCTGGCGTGGACCTGCCTTTCCTTGTCCCCAGTTTCTGTGCCCAGGAGACAGGGGCTCTGGCAGGTTCCTGAAGGACAAGTCAGCTCCTGACTCCCTCACTGGCTGGGGCAGCCTCTGGCTGCTCTTGGCAAGGGCCTTGCCTGAGTGTGCAGTGAGTTTAGGCAAAGGCCTGCCCAAGCCCCGCAGGCTCTGTGATTTCCAGGCCAGCGAGAGCATTTCAGCAGCTTGGGCGCTGCCCATCCGTAGCCTGCAGGGTCTGAGTCGGTGTGGGCTCACAGCCCGCAGGTGCAAGTGGAAAAGAGTGAGGAGGGACCCGGTGCAGGTGGGTGGGGGAGGGTGTCGGACGCACCCTGCAGGGTCAGACTACTCGGAGGGGCCGGGAAAGCTCCTTTTCTGAGCCGTGAGGTCTGCAGCCCTGGCTTTGGTGCCTGAAAGACCTATAACTAAGATGGCCCAACTTTTAAGCACGAGAACTGGGGGGAGGGGAGGGAAGAAGAGATGGAAAAACAAAGAGAACTCTCAGGGCTGCACCAAAGGCATCTGCTCTTGGAAAGAACTCTTCTCCGGAACAGAACGGCCGTCTGACTGCTTCTGTGCTGTCCTTCCAGTGAGCACGCTCAGAAGCTGCACTATCTTCTAACTGGGACTAGGGAAGAATTAAGGTCCTAAGATGGAAACATAAAGGACGAATTCCTCAAGGCAACGAGCATTTGCTGTGGGGAAATCTGTACTTTTATCATTCATTTTTTAAGGAGGCGAGAAAGTGCAGTAAGGCCAGGCGCCACGGGAAATGGCTGGCCTGGCCTATGGAGTTGGCGTGAATCTGCCTGACGCAACAGGTGACTAAGGAGAGGAGCTGCGGCAGACGTAGCCCCAGGACATGGGGGCTCTCCACCCACCTGAGTCACAAGCCTGTTTGGGCGACTGCATCCCGACACAGGTGACACCCAGCCCCGCCTGAGCCCCGGGCACAGCACAAGAGGTCGGTCAGGGCCTGGGACCCGGGCCAGATGGGTAGGCTGGTGGGGTTGGACAAAAGAAGAGGTGCAGCTGGGCTCTTTAAACAAAACCCTAACTTGGGTCTCCACCAGTCAGGATGGGCCTCGAACGGAGGGTGGGTGGGGGGCCTTAGCTACGAGGGAGAGGGTCGCGGGGAGAGAATGGTCTGCACTCACCTTGCTTCCTCTCCGTCCCAGCTCCTCCGTTAACCTGGGCAGCGGGGACACAAACAGCACATAGGTCACAATGAGGGTCTTCTCACCCCTGGATCTTCTCCCAGGGCCTCTCTAGCCCCCTGCACCCATGGGCTCCGGGACTTTCCTGACCAGGTCTGAAACCAGGGGAGCATCACCACCTACGACCAGCAACTGTAACTGCCACAAAGCAGCCATGGGGACAAGTGCCTCTCAGGAGGAGGGAATACTAACACTGACGGTAAACAAAGCCACCCTAAATCCAGGGAGTGGTTAGTTTGGGGGCACACAGCCCACGTGTCCCGGGAGCGAACCAGGTGACCGTGATGGCACGGTGACGAGGGCAGCATCTCCTTCCTGTGGACCTGTCTGTCTGGGAGTCACTCTCACCCACCCCAGGATGACAAGCACTGCCCGGACCCTCAAACCCGTCCGCTTTCACAGAGGGCCACGGATGCCGGCCCGCCAGACACACGCCGGGCCTAAGAGTGTGAACTGGATTTACACACTTCGCCGTGAACGGCAGGCCCAGGAGGAGGGAATTCTGAAGAACACGGCAGCGTGAAATGAGGCTCCGGAGTAGCAGAGGCAAGGGTGGGGCTGGGAAGCCACGCGCGGCGAGTTCCGCTCGTCTGTGTTTGTTCTATGTCATCTTGGGGAAAGGAAAGCACTGGCCACTCCAGGTAAGCGGTGCGGGAGTCAAAGTTGGAAGGGTCCCCGACAGAGCAGAAGCGTTCCCCAGGGTACAGCCAGACAGAGAGCCAAGGGAGGGCAGGAAGAGGCCTGAAGGGGCGGATGCGGCTGGGCCATCCGGCTCAGTCACACCTTCTTCCAGAGCGTCCACTTGGCTCTCAGGGTTTCGCACTGAGCAGGCCATGCCGCCGGACAGGGTACCGACCAAGTTCTGTGTGGATTATGTTGGCAGGACCTCAACCCCAAAGCAGCAACCCTTTCTCTGTGTGGCAGTTACTGCTGTCTAACGCCCAGGTGAGTCTACACAGTGTCAGTCTACACGGCAAAATCTCGCGCCCAGCTCATGACAGAGAACTGGAAGGGCTGTCCATGAAAACACTTGGCTTCAGAACAGCACCCACGTCGCAGCCGCAGGGGTGCATCCTAGGGCCTTTACAATGTGCAAAGTCAAATGTTTTTTTAAAACCCTATCCATATCTCACCCCAGCTCTTAACACTCCTCCCCTCGGGGATGACGTCTAAAGCCAGAGAAATAGAAAATCAGGCGTTTTCACAAAAAGATTGCACACGGGTAGGAAGAAACTGGCATATACGCTGAAAGAGGGAGAGGAAGAAGAGCCGCTGACAGGGCAACGTGGGTGTGAAGACAGAGGCCCCTGAGGCCAGGAGACACCAGGTGAGAGAAACCATGGGCAGTCCATAGGGGAGACGCAGCCTGCAGCCAGACTTGAACCAGGACTAAGGACTGAAGTCCATGGTCAGGGCAAAGCCCCAGTGTGCAAGGCAGAGTCCTCCGTGCTTCAGGGGAGAGGCCATGGGAAAAGCTACTGGGGAAGGGAGGGTCCACGGGCAGGGAGGCCAAAGTAGCAGCTGTTAAGTCTTCAGCCAAGAACATTCCAAAATGAATGCCAGGATCTGGCTGGATTGTGTGCGTGCGTGCGTGTGTTTGGAGGCTGTGTTTACGTAGGTGTAAACTTATCTCTGTGTGTCTGCTCTTCCCCTGGTGCACTACAGCCCTCCTGCCTTTGTCCCAGACCTCCAGTGCCACGGGGACATCAGCCGTCCCGACGTTTCTCCGTAGCATTTCTAGACGTTTCAAACCACTGCCCTCCACTTCTGACCTCTGACATCCGTGCCAAACACGGCACCCTCATCCATTCATCCCGGCTCTCGGCCACCTTCTGAACAAGTTCAGCACCTGAAGGATGTCCCCTCCTCTCCCGGCTTCTCCCTTGGCGATTTCATGTCCTTGCTGACGCACTCGGGAGCCCTCCCTCTCTTGTCCACACGAGCCCCCAGGGGCAAACAATGCTGCAGACCCCCAGGCCACGCAGCTTCCCCTTTCCCCTCGCAGCATCCTGGCCTGTACCAACTCCCTTCTTCCTTCCTTTCTCCATGTCACTCGGTGCTGATCTCCTCCGACTAAAGCTGGGGCTCTGGGGCTAGAGAAACCTGTTGTTGTGTCTCCCAGGGTTAAGGATCAAATGAGATTGCAGGTGGAAACCATTCAGCACAGCTCCGACTGAGAAGGCATTACAGGCATACTCTGTTTTATTGAACTTCCCTTTATTGTACTTCCCAGATACTGCTGCTTATGTTGTGCAAACCGAAGGCCAGAGCCTCCTCCGGAGGACGGTGACGCTGGCTCTACCGCCACACTCGCTTGCCTCTGGCGGCCTGGAGCCGACCCCACAGCGCCTCTACCTGTGGCCTGCGCTGACCTCTCCCCACTGCTTTTCATTCTCCCGAGAAGCCACAGCGGCATTCGGCTAGTCGGCCCACAATCATCGGCTCCCTCTCGGGAAACTGTCCTGTATTTGTCACCACACACTCAAAGTGTGACGACACACTCTTCCTGCTACTCGTCTCCTATTGATATTGCACGTTGCTTTCCTAACTGTATCATAAACTCCTTGAGGCGAGGAGTCCTGTTTTATCTTCTTGTGTCTGTTTCCTGTATCCTGATGTCTAGCACCTATCAGAAATCGGAAGCTTTGTTGATCCACGGGCACTACCACCTCCAGGGGGGAACTCGCGGGGCAGCTGGGGAAAGCAGGTAGGGGGAGCTGCGGGTCTGAACCCTCCGGGCGGCAGCAGGAAGAAAAGCAGAAACGAAAGGGAGCGGGTCTGTTCAGGGGCCAGGAGCTCTGGCTGCCGTTCCGACTGAGGCTCCTGCTGAGCTGCCTTTACCTCTGTCTTTCCCATTCTGCATCTTCTCTTCTTCTTCCTCTGCACCTTCCTCGGCTGTGAAAACAAGTCCAAGGAGGCCCGTGACCCTTCAGCAAAGGACAAGCATAGAGGGGGCGGAGGGGGCAACTCGGGAGGCTCGGGGTGAAACCCTAGTTGGAGGCTCAGGGCCGCCGCCGCCCGGGCCACGCCCTCGCCCGGTCTGCACCCTGCGCGCCCGTCCCCTGTGTTCCCTGGTGAGGAGGTGGGGTGGCGGCCTGCCCTCTACGCCGGTTTTCCCTAAGGGAGGATGCCTGCGGGGGCCAGGTTGAGCATCCTGCAATCGGGTTAAAGGAAGCAACCGTGAAAATGCACAGCTAGATTAACCTAGATTAACACTGATTCCGTAAAAACGAATGAATGACGAACTAGGGGTTTTAGCTGACAAGTCTTAAAATGACGGAACACTGCAATGTGGCTGTGAGGAAAAAAAATCTAAGGACGCTTCCCAAGTGTCCCTCAGGGGGGTCACGGTTCACTGTGCTCTGGACAGAGAACCTGCCTGTGGGTGGAGTGCGCTCAGCTCTGGGGTCTCCAAACTGGGGCCTTGGCACGCCGGGCGACGTCCCCGGGTTGGCAAGCCGGATGGTGAGGTGCAAACCGCGTCCCAGTGGGAACGGCTGAAGGAATGACGGACAGTTGCCTAAAGAGGAACAGGCTTAGGGAGGGCCCTGTCCTCTGCCAGCAGATACTCGAAAGGCAACACAAAGAGGAGGAACTGAACTTACTCTGGGCAGGTTCAGAGGGTCGAGCAAGTGTAAATGGGCTACTGAAAGGCACACTGTGGCTCTCTGATTAGAAAGAACATCCTAGAGATGAGAGCTGGTCACGAACGAGCTCTGGAAATACACAGAGAGAGGACTTTTGTGTCAGGAGGCAGGCTGCAGTGAATGGCGTCCAGGGGTGTCCACAGTATGACCACGCTGTGCGGGGGACATGAAGAGACACCTGAGGACCTAACCGCACCCTGACCGAGACCTCCAGGGCAGCAGAGGAAACTGGCCGGCGTGGGCCGGGCTGTCCCAGTCCGTGAGGCATCGGCGGCCTCGCGTGTGAGGACAGTTGACTCCTGCATTTTGTGGAGATGGCGCCACGTGTGGGCTTGGTCCAAACTCTCCAGAGTTTGAGAGGGCAGAGCACCAGGGAAAGGGGCCTGTGGGACCACAGATCTGACACTTAATGTTCTTAAGACTTCAGTTCTAGAACAAGCTTTGCCCCTTCGAGCTGCCTAACTTCAGGCAAATGGCTTTTCTGTTAGCTGTTCACTGCGATTCCAAAGGGAAGGGAGTGGACAACATGACCTCTCACGGACCTTCCGGACACGGCACCCAGTTCTGTCCACACCGCCCTTCCCTGCTGTGAGAGGTGGCCGAGGACTCCGCCGAACTCCGGGCGGCCGTGAAGCTGTCTGCCCTGTGTGCTTTCTGCTGAACGGTGTCTGGTCACCTCTCGTGCCAGTGTGATGTGCTCATGGCCACTTCCTCTGCATAAACCCTAATAAGTGGCCGAGAGGCACCAGTGTGGTTGACGTCCACGGCCCGGAGTCCGTGGGGCGCTGTAAGAGGGACGTTCTGGTCACGTGTGAAGTCATCTTGACGGCAGTCCCTGCTTCTGTTCACAAGCGTGTTAAGGGGGCACTGATTCTGACGGGCACTAGGGTGTGGATGGCGTCACCTAACGTGCCCTACACAGGAGAACTGACACCTTATCTTAGCTGCGCTGCAAAACCAACCTAGGCCACACATTTATTCTCTGTTAAAAGAAAACAGGCAGATTGGAGAGCCACGCCATGGCCCCGGGATGGCATGGAAGGCCCGCCCTTTGTTTTGGGAAGTCGCAGAACTGCCGGGCTGGCCTTCCTTCAGGGCAGACTGGTGATTCAATGCATGTATTTGCATAAGTGTATCTGTTTGAACAGGCCATGGAAAAACGGTTTTATATTTTTAATTAATAACCGTGGTAATTAATAACCTTGTCAAGGCATCTAACAGCATTAAATTAGGTCAGAGGAAACACAAGCGAGCCATCTGTACGAGTGACCTATGGAACTCAGGAAGGGAACCCACTCGTTTAATATTTAACATGGGAATCGGGCCCTGCAAGAAAATCGGCAGGTACCTGGCCGCTACAAAACGGATGGAGTCATGAGGATTCCTAGAGGGTGATGATGTGGGAATGGGTTTTCACCCTCTGCCTGGGTTTCGTGTAAGGGGGGAAATGACCATGAGGTAAGCGCGTCTGGAAAATTGCTGAAATAGCTAAGTAACCGAGAGACTGAGAAAGAAGTCGCAGATGAAACTGAACCCGAGGAGGGAAGGAAGCAACAGACTTGGGTCGTGAACTTCAAGTGAAATGAGAGCCTGGTCATGGACAAAAGGGGAGAATAGGGTTTCAACACCAAATCAGAGAGGAGGGAGCAGAGAGGCAGCTGGGAGAAAGTCCAGAAGCGTCCGCGGCCGACTGGGTCCCAGGCGCCCAGGAAAGCTTCGGAGCCAGACGGCGGACCGGGGCCTAGGAGAGAGCGGCTGCAGACGGAGCTCGGGTGGAAGACACATGCAAGGAGGGAAGAGCCCAGCTGTACTCAGAGGCCTAAATTTCTTTAAATTCTGAATCGTGTTGGCTCCACACACTGTACTCTTAAGAGAAACTTAAATGTGTAATTGTCTCTATGTGATTGCCAGGGAGAGAGACTCCCTGGGTGAAGACATCCAGTGTGTCCCTAGAAAGGCAAGAGCATGGGGGGGGGTGGCATGAGGGGTCTCTGCTCTCTGACGGCGTTCTACCGTGTGACGTGGGAGTGAGGGGGGCATGAGGGAGGGGGGCGTGAGGCCGGGTGGGAGCTTGGGGCTTCACCTGAGTGGAGCTCCTTCACCAGGGATGACATGGTGTTGGTGATGGAGTCGGCGGCCACCAGCAGGTCATTGCGGAGGTTTCTCCTCGTACCTGAGGGGAGTCAGAACAGATGGCGACGCCAGGTGGGTGGGCGAGGAGAAGGGGGAGCAGAGTGTGAGACTCAGTCTGCCCGGCCCTGGGACACAGTGCCGAGTACTGAGGGGACATGGGGCAGCAGCAGCCCCCCTGGTCCCCGGCATGTCGGCAGCTCCAGGCGCTCGAATGCACATTTTCCTCCTTCTCTGCTCCGAGGGCAGGACCCTGTCATTTCCGAGCTCCCAGCCACAATCAACGCAGCCGAGTTCCGGCACAAACACTGCTCCCAGGGGCTCCCCGGTCTCCGGCAGGACGCCCCTCCCAGTGCCGCCTCCTCCCCGTCTTCTGCCTGCACCCCAGTCAGGCTCGCTCGCCGCCCCGTCCTCCCCCAGCCACGTCACTCTGGCCGCTGGCTCTTCGGCAGTGGTGACATTCGGACACTGAATGAGCCTTCAGCAAGGTCGTAACACATGACTTTGGGGATCATTCCACACCATTCCTCCGCAGGGAGCAGAGCCCAGAGGGTAAGGCACTGCTCACAGCCGGAAGAAGGGCACGGGAGCCCAGGAGGTCTTCCTCTGCACAGGCACAAGGCCTGCTGCTCTCCCACTGGAGACGGCCCTCCCACTGGAGACGGCCCTCTAGGGAGAGGGAGCCAGCACCTGACTCACTACCACCGTGTGTGAAAGTCTGACCACTTAAAACGAAGAGCAGAGAAACAGGAAACTCTCAGTAACAACCGTGCCTGTGTTTCCAAAGCCCTTCGGTCCCCTGCCTTGCAGGCCGATCCCGACACTGACCTTGTGCAAAGGCCTCCTGCGTGTCTCCCCCGACTCCGCCCGGCGGGTCCTGCGGGCCGTGCGTGGGCGAGGAGCCAGCGGAGGCCGAGCGGACTGGCGCGGGCATGGGGCGGCCGCCTCCGTGCGTGGGCGAGGTGTGCGGCGATCCCACAGCCTGAGCCTAGGAGAAGCAAAGGCAGAAAATGTTACCTCGGGTGCCCGACCTCGGAGGGAGGGAGAGTCCTTTCTCAGTCAGCTCCGGCCGGCTGACTGGGCTTCAGTTCCCGGGGCAAGGCGCCCCCGGATTTCAGAGGAAGGAGTCAAGCTCCCTCTAGGACCAGAGAGGAAGAAGGAGAAGAAAGAAAGGGAGTGGGGTGGGGAGGCAGTGAGAACAGCAGCAAAAGGGACTGAAGTGGGAGGGTGCGCAGGGCTGATCAGAGTGGGCAGGCCCTTCGGGGGGCAGACTGAGTGGGCAGCTGGGCTGAGGGTCTGAGAGTGGGGGGCGGGGGGTGGGGAGTCACACAGTTGGAAAGTAATCCATAAACGCCCCTCATTCTTGTCTGCAAACACATTCATGGACACTGTCTCATCTGGCCCTCACAACACCTTGTGCGCAGAAAGGGCACATGTTTTTGTGTCCAGTTTACAGAAGAAAACGAAGGGTGAGAGAGTGTGAGCCTTGTGTCAGGCTCCCCGTGAGAGATGCTGGAATAACCCCTTCTCCCCAAGGGACACGGTGCATCTCCTGCACCCCTGTGGCCTCAGACCACGTGCTGCAGGTGCCCGAATCTGTGCGTCAGGAGCCGGGTCACCTGGCCTGTCACACTGCGAGTGGCAGGCACACAGGGTGAGGTCTTCTGTGGGCCACCTTGCAGGGACCAGGTGAGAATGGCTGTATGTTTTGTGGAAACGGAACTTGCCTTGTGAAGGCTCTGGGGTCGGTCTGGGCAAAGCTTGGGGCAAGAGACGGGATTTTAAAGCTCTGGTTAGAGAGAGCTCACTGAGGGGGCTCTGCTGCCCTTCAGAGCAGGGGGACTGAGCGTGGCAGACAGTCTGGGCTTTCTGCAGAAGCAAAACTGGGAAAGCGTAAGCCAAAGTGTGTAAATGAGTTCAAATGAATGTCCTTATCCTTTGGGGATCTAGCGCAACACCCCCGACCCCCGTACAAACAGAATCTGCCCCAACAGGCTGGCTGGCTGTTTGCACGGAGCCTCACCCCGCCCCCCCGCCGGCAGGCAGTGTGGGTGCCGGGCTCAACGGGAGCAGCCTGTTCTCCATCGTTTCTGCTTTGCCTCTTGTGCACGTGTGTGTGTGTGTGTGTGTGTGTGTATGTGTAGAGGAATTCAGAAAAACAGAGGAAGCTGCAAAGTATAACATACCACCCACATTAGTAATTGTTACCACTGTATCCATTTATTTCAGCCTGAAAATACTGCAGGAAAACCTGAAGATCCCTTTTACCGCCAGCCCTTCCCAGTCCCAGCCCCTCATCTCATCCCTTCGGGGGCCACTGCTGCCAAAGCTTCTGGTGTGGAACTTAACACCTGTGTGTACGCAGGAAACCAGGGGTAATATATGACGTGTAATGCCTTTAAATTTTGCATAAATGGTATCGTACCACACATATTATTTTGCAATTCGCTTTTATCATTAGCGTGCTCTTTGAGATTTTTTTCCACAATACAAATAAATATGAACTTAGGCCCTTGTCATGTTATATATAAAAACTCATTCAAAATGGATCACAATAAATATAAGAACTAAAACTAGACAATGACTCTAGATATGACAAGATGCAATAGCTACAAAGAAAATAAATAAATTGAAATTCATCAAAATAAAATTTTTTTTTTCAAAGGACGCCTTTAAGAAAGTAAAAAGACAACTCAGAATAGAAAAAAACTTTTGTAAATCACTTATCTGATTACTGATTTGTATCTAAAATATGTAAAAAGCTCTTATACTCAGTAATAAAAGGTCAAGTAACCTAAGTTAAAAGTCGGCAAAGGATCTGAACAGGCAGTCCTTATTGGATATAAATATCCAATAAGCACATAAAAAGATGCTTAACATTATTAGCCATTAGGGAAATGCAAATCAAAACCACAAGGAGACAACATTTCACAACCATTAGGATGGCTATAATAAAAAAGACAGACAATACCAAGTGTTGACAAGGATACAGAGAAATGGGAACCCTCATAAGCTGCTGGTAGGAACCGAACATGGTCCAGCTGCTTTGGAAAACAGCCTGGCAGTTCCTCAGAAGGTTCGACAGTGAGCGCCACATGACCCAGAAACCCCACCACTACCTGTACACACCCAGGAAAAATGAAAACCTGCATCTACACAAAAACTTGCACACAAGTGTTCATAGCAGCATTATTCATAATACCCTCAAAGTGGAAATGATCCAAATATCTATCAGCTGATGAATCATTTAAGTGAAATGTAGTTTACTCTTACAATAAAAATGATTTGGCAATAAGAAGAAATGAAGTACTGATACATGCTACAAAATGGACAGACTTTGAAAATATGAGAAGTAAAAGCTAGTTACAAAAGACCAGATGTTGTTTGGTGCTATTTGTATGAAACGTCCAGAATAGGCAAACCATAGAGACAAAGAAGACTCATGGTTGTCTGGGGCTGGGGGGTTTGGGGGAGAGAGGAGTGAGTGCTAAGAGGTACAGGATGCTTTCTGGGGGTCATGAAATGCTCTAAAATTGGTTGTGGTGATGGCTGCCCAACTCTGGGAATATATTAAAAAACACTGAGTTGTATTCTTTAGAAGAGCAAATTGTATGTTATGTAAATTATATCTAAATGAAACTATTATAAAAAGACAGCACTAAGGAAAAAAAGATAAGCCATATCATGGGAAAAATATTTACAAATTATATCTGATAAAGAACTTGTGGGTATTTGCAATGACTTTTTGGATCTGACAGCAAAACTAAAGGCAACAAAAACAAAAACAAGTGGGACCACAGCAAACTAAAAAGCTCCGCACGGCAAATGAACCATCAACAAAATGAAAAGGCAACCTGAGAGAAAATAATTGCAAATCGTGTACATGATGATGAGTTAATATTCAAAATATATGAAGAACTCATACAGCTTAGCAAAAAGCAAACAGTCCAATTAAAACATGGTCGGAGTAACTGAGTAGACGTTTTCCCAAGACGACAAACAGATACATGGCCAGCGGGTATATGAAAAGGTGTGCAACGTTACAGATCCTCAGGGGAATGCAAATCAAAACCGCAATGGGCTACTGCCTCACAGCCGGCAGGAGGGTTACCATTAAAGAGGCAAGCACCGGCGAGGACGTAGGGGAGGGGGGCCTCGTGCTCTGCTGGGGTGGGGGCGGCGGGGGTGTGATCAGGAGCAGCCGCTGTGAAAAACGGGATGGAGGCTCCTCACAGAATTAACACCAGAGAAACGGTCCAGGGAGCCCCTGCTTCTGGGCAGCCTCGCGAAGAAAATGAGAAGGGGATCCTGAGGCACCGGCACACCCGTAGTCACTGCGGCGACTCACAGTGGCCAGGATATGGCCGCAACCTACACGAATGGGCAGAGAAGAGGCGGGGTGCGTGTCCAGCAGATGTTACTCGCCCACGGGAAGACGCAAGGCCTGCTCTTCGCGAGCGCGTGGTGCTAAGTGAAGCCAGCCAGTCAGAGAAAGACAAATACTGCGTGGCATCACCTACATGTGGAATCTAAAATACGTCAAACTCGCAGGCACAACAGAAAAGTGGCTGCCAGGGGCCGAAGGGTTGGGGAACAGGGAGAGGCGGGTAAAAGGTCACAAACTGCCAGCGTGTAGATAAGTGAAGCCTTTCCGCTATTTTTACTGCTGCTTAACTTCTATAATAATTTTCCATGGACAATTAAACATCTTCTATCTTGTGATATATTCTCGTCTATTTTCTGTCAGTGGTTATAAAAACACTTATTATTTTTTCAGGATATACATCTTCTCTTCCCAACTAGTTTACAAACAGCTCAGGAATCCTGTTTCAGCTGGATAATGTTACCACATATTATTGTATCCTGGGGAACCACATCTGCCTTTTAACCCACAATTACCACCGTCCTGTTTTTTAGCCATTTCTATGGGAGAAGGGAAGGAATAGAATATAAAACTCATTCTCCTTTGGAAAAGTGCTTACGAAGAGCCAGAGCTAGCAATTTCAACCCCAATCCAAGTTAGATAAGGAAGCCGGAGAGAACCAGGAGAAAAGGTGATGCAGAGGCCCCACTTCGCTGGAAAACCCTGTGAGCCGCCACAGTTGGGATGCAGGAGGTCACAGCAGTGGACCAGAATCAAGGTTGTTGGCTGGGCTGCTTGGGCAGCCCCCAGGGAGAACCCCACGCACCCCAGCAGCTGATGGGTTTCCCACAGGATGATACTGTCAGACAAAGAGCCTAAAGTTGTCTCTCAGTTATAGAGCTAGAACCTCAGTGAGATCACATGAGGACCCTGGGTGCTGGGGAGCCTATGACTTCTGACACCTCCACCATGGAGCAGGGAATGCGGCCTGCGGGAACCAGAGGACAGCGGCCTCAGCCCAGATCAGGCTGGAGCTGCAGGCACGTGCCCACTGATAGAACAGCACCCAGCACAAGTCCCCAAGGCGTAGCACCCACCTTGGGCACAGGAAGGGGGATAAGAGTCTCTAAAGGGACTGGCTTCAGAGTTTGCCTGGAAATGCCAGGACCAAGTGCACAGCACAGACGTGGAGCACTGAAGAGGGAAATCAAACCCAGTTAAGAAAAGGAAAAAAAAATCGGGAGGCCTGAGTATGTGGCCTGTGAAATTCAAACTCACTTCACTGCCTGTGTCCCCAAGGGCCAACCCAGCCTGCAACGGGCGAGTCCTGGGCCCAGCACGCAGGCTGAGGAGGCAGGGCAGGCCGTGGTGGCCAGGGAGTGCCAACTCCACCCGTCTTTGCTAGTGCCGAGTGTGACCTCTTTAACTGGATGGCTAAGTGTGCTGGGCAGGCCTCTGGGATGGCCTCCAATGGCCCCTGCCCTGTAGTCACACTCTTGTGTAATCCCTTCCCCTTGAAGGTGGGCTGGGCATAGTGACTGGTCTTACTGGTGCGTCAGGACAATGGGAAGCCACCTCCAAGGTTCGGTTCTTCAAGACAGACTCTGATTGGCCCACGCTCACAC